GATGCCATGTTTTACCAGAAATTTTGATGAGGTTATGGGCAGAGGAAGGAAAGAGAGGAGAAAGGCAGCTATGTGCCCTAAGTAAGCGATCCTTCAACTAAACTTTAGATAGTCTCCATGGGTCCTTCTGCTCTGACATTTGAGCTCTGAAATGATCAGGAAATAATGCTTACAGCTATTTGTCCCTGGTTTGTCTAACCTCTGCGGTCTAGGATTATTCTGCTATTTGGTAGGCAGGTTCTCCTGACTAAAGCAGAAAATCCAAACCATCAGGATGGTGATGGAGGATCAGAAGAAGTAAGCTGCCCTTGAGAAGAACAACTCCACACAACCTCTGCAGAAGGGTCTCCAGCAAGAAGATAAGGATCCCTGGTGCCCCCCACGTGGCCACTTTGAGAGTGAGAAAATTGACAAGAAGTGGAAATTTCTTCCTCTGCTCCCCAAAGAGTTTTCCTGCGGAGGAATAATCTCAAGGCTCTTAGCCAACAGGACAGAGGTATCACTGCATCCAAATAAGCATGGCTCAAAGCAAGTGTCCTCGTAAGGCTGATGTTTGGGACCAGGATGTCTGAATGGCAAAACAAAACCGGTCACTGTAATGCTGGTACATTTTGATAGCCCAGCACAAGCAATAAGCTTAAAAGTCTAGGTTCTCTCTCAAGACCCTGTATTTTGTGATAGAGGAGTGTGTGTCTGGACATGTGAGTTCACACAAAGATTTAGTTGAAATTACAAAGTCAAGAAAGAGAGTGACAGCAAAAGAAAAAGGCGAATCCTGAAATAACACAAAGAAGAGGTGTGGAAAACACTCATCACAGTCATTTCGTTCAATCCTATCATTAACCTGCTCAAACCTAAAGATGTGCTCGGCTCACCTTGTTAAGTCGCTCAAGCATCTCTTTTAGCAGCAGTTGACACTCACATTCGTTTTCATACCTGCAAATTGGACACATAAGCCAAAGTTGAGCAGCTTCCGTGGTTTCACACATGTTGATCACGCAATCAACATTAAATTTAACCTGAGATGAGTTCTATGCCTTCTCTTTAAGGAGCAGGTCCTAATTTTAAAGGAGGAGCTAATGCTGCATTTCTGAGCCCACTGCTTCCCAACCTCTTTAACATCATGGCACAGGTAGAAAGTGCTGACATGGGTACCACACATGGGGTAAATGCAAGCGGAAAATGGAAGAGAAGTCACCCAGCCTGGAGGCCCAGCCCCAACCCAAGCACCTTCCTTCCAGCCACACCAAGGATGAGGGAATCCCATCTCGGCACACCAGTAACTCAAGTCTGGGAAGCTGCCCTGCATAAGCTACAACGAACACCTTTACCCTGACTTCCTCTGGGTTTCCTATACTATTGTATTTATCGACAAGATTATCTGATTTCATGCCTCTCTTAGTTTGGAGTCCATGCTTATTTGGATGCAGTGATATTTATCGACAAGATTCTAGATTATGCCATTTCATCCTCACAAAACTCTGGGAAAAAAGCAGCTATTGTTACCACTGAAGGGATTCAGAACAGGCCTCCCCAAAATGTGCCACTCTGGCATATGAGTTGTTGAGGTAAAGGCAGTCAAGATTTTATGGGCTCAGGAGAAACTTTTACCTCTCCTTAAAGAATCTAAATAGATATCACCAGAAATAATGCTTTAGGGCAGGGCAAACTACTAGTTAGTGAGCATCTGCTCTTCTAATCACCCTGCAATGACCCTCTGAAGTCTCAAGCTGCCTTACTTCATCCTTAGCTCGGAATGTCATATATACCCCAATTTCCCTGTCTTTAAGTGTGTGAGATATGTGAGGTCTCTGACTCTCACGTATGTGGGGTTCCTATCCATACACAGGTAATTAAATTTGGTTATTTTCTCTTGTTACTCTGTTTCACATAGATTTAATTATTAAACCCACCAAAAAAACTTAGTAGGGTAGAGGAAAATTTCTTCCTCCCCCATACCTCCATGAGAAAGATTAGAAAACTGAGGTTGAGAAACTGGCCCAGCATGTTGCCAGCATGTCACCCTAATCCTTGTGGCATCATCCCTGCACACCAAAGACCTGCTCTGAGCTGGGGGGCAGGGCAGGCTGGTTAGGCCAGAGAGTCATTGTTCCTGGCAGGAAGGTGAGCAGGTACATGGATACCCCAGCTTTCTTGCCCTCCACTGGGACAAGCGAGGTGTGTCCGCCACTCTGCAGGTTAGTCCCAGTTGCCACAGTGATAACAGTGCACTCAGCATGAACTGCCTTCCCTTCCTGTCTCACTTCCTCACTCTCCGACACGTGCTTCCTGAAGCTACTTGCCTTCAAATCCCTCTCTCAGGCTCTACTTCTGAAGGACTCCAAACTAAGAGAGGCATGAAATCAGATAAAAACATAGTTGCTGCAAGTTTTACATTTCACACCAGGATATCACATTTAGCAGTTTCTTTTGTGTGCGGCTCTAATGGAGCCAGAATTTTTTTTTAATGGTTAATTTTGAGAATAAAATTGTTAACAAAATCTAATTTTCTCATTGCTTTTTCCTGCTAGAAATATCTAAGAAAATCTGTGGCTTGAAAATAGGATCGATAACATATTAACATAATTTTCATACCACTTAATTATTAAATATAAAATATTAATAAGAATTCATAATACATTCATATACATATAAGTGAATATATAAGTGAATTCATAAAGTGAAAATAACACTTTGGCTTCAATTATCTGATTATTTCACATAATTATTTTGGTTTTCTGCAATTTAACTGACTATACACACTATTATATTTTTATAGTTTTGTTTGCTTTTAGTCTTATTTTATTTAGTGTTTGTTTGAAATGCGGAAGACCCGATTTTAAAATTATTCAACTATCCAAGTAGAAAATACGCCTAACAAGGTTGCATACAGCTACCCATTTCTGCATTATTTTCACCTGCTATGGTTAGTCATCAACTCCCCTCTGAAATATGAAACCATACTTAGTTTGTGTATACCCACGCACATGGACAGGTATGATTTTTTATAATAATTTTCAAATCCCACTAACCTAGTCAGAATACCAAAACTTTTCCAAGGGGGCAATGGGAGGTATAAATCAATAGGAATTATTAAATAAATCACAGAGCCTGAAGAGACTGCTCCATGATGGACATATAACTCAGAATCAAGTGAAATCAGGAAAAAAATATGGCCACTTTTTCAATGAGGGCCACTCTTTCAATGAGGGCATTTGCCCAGCTAAATCACAGTTGATTGTGGCCTGATGACCAGGTGAAGGCTATTTAGGGATCTAGGGGATCCTGCTTTCCCATGGAGCTGGGTGTCTGTGCCAGCACACACTTCCCTCTGTTTTAGAGAACATTAGCTGTATTTGAATAAGGTCCTAGTCCTATCACTGGGCCTCATTCCACAGGAACCCAAAAATGGCTTCTCGCCACAACACACAGTGTTCTAAAAAGAGTATGGGTCCAGGGCAAGAAAACCTGAGTTAAGTCCTGCCACCCAAAGGCCATCTGCAAGTCTGTTTTCCCATGAAGGAGTGAAACCAGAAACAGAAGGACTGATAGGAATGGAATCAATGATTATGATCCAATAAATGCTCTAGAAGACACAAGACACATATTGAAACAATTTCCAGGTGTTGGCTGTGATGCAGTGAAGACAATTAGACTTAGCATGCCCAACACTTCCATCCAGTCCCTGTGTAGCAATTCACTAGCTTAATGTACTTGCACCAAATCTCCACAATTCCAGGCCTCAGTTTCCTCATATGTTAAATAGGTACCGGCACTACCATCAATAACAGGATGAGGCTGTGAGGATTAAATGACATCAATCTATCTCAAAAATCTCGTACTGAGCAAAAGAAGCCAGAGACATAAGACACTAATCATATTCCATTTTTGTGAAATTCTAAAACAGTCAAAATTAATCTATTGTGGTAGAAATGAGACCAATGGGTGCCTTTGTTTTGTTCTGTTTTTTCGTTTTGTGGGAGGTGGTAACTAAAGATCGACTAAGGATAGAAGGGAACTTTATAGGGTACAGGATATATCTTGTTTGTTTTGGTAGTTACATGGGTACATACATTTGTCAAAACTCACTGAACTATGTACTTAAAATCTGTGCATGTTATTGTGTGTAAATTATACCTAAATTTTAAAATACATTAAAAGTAAAGTATACCATTTCATGTAAACCGTCAAGTGCCATCAAAATGGAAGCTAGTCTTATCTTTGGGAAATTCACCACATTCGTGCCTTTTGCACGGATGAAGTCATCTGTCGCTGGCGTAACAGAAACGTCCCTCCAACCCTGGGTGGCTGCCCGCTCCCAGATTCGCGCTGCGGGGGCCGCCCCCACCCTGCCTCAGTTTGCCGCCACGGTCGACGCTTACTTGCTCCTGAACTCGTCCAGCGCGCGCTGCGCCTCCGCGCCCTGGCGCTCCAGCCGGGCGCGCTCGGCTGCCAGGTCCCGGGCGCGCTGGCGGTTGCCCTCGACGTGGCGGGCGAGGGCATCCTCCGGGCCAGCCAGCTCTCCTAGGCGCTGGAAGGCGTCCAGCTGCCGCCGGAGGACTGCGTGGCGCTGCTCAAGCGCGCGGGCCCGCTGGACATGGGCGGCTACGCGCTCGCCAAGGCCTTGCAGCGCCGCCAGGGTAGGCGCCGAAGCCCGGCCCTCGACCAGGCGGTCGGGCGCCTCCTCTGCGCGCTCGTACTGCTCCTTGCGGGTCTGGAAGACGTAGCTGCGCCGGTACATAGCTCATCTGCGGGCGGGCGCACGCAAAGCCGGCTGCGGGGGGCCCCTCGCCCAGCCAGCAGCCGGCTAAATAAACATCGGAGGCCGCTGGCACGCTGCTGGGACGTTCCAGAACTGATCAGCTGTTGGGCTCAACACAGTGCTCAGCCTAGGGGAGAATAAAAGAGCAGCAGGCTTGCTTTTGTGAGCTGGATTAGTGGACCATGCAGCTCTGGAGGTTGGAAGGTTAAATTAAGCAGTGAGGTTTTTGTTTCGTGATAAAGTCTGTTACTGTGTGATTGAACGGAGAATCAGGAGGCACAAGAGAAGCATGACATTCTTTTGACTGATTACACTGGAATTGTGAAGGAAGTCCAAGGGAGCTTGATAAAGTTGGACTAGCTCAAGAGCCCAAAGACCCCTATGTCTTTTCCCTCTTTCAGTCAAGATCTTAATTATATTTATATTTAACAATACCGTTTTTTTTTCTGATTACTTAAGCAATTCTTTTTCATAATTGCAGTATAACTTTTCATTTAGGAACCCTCCTTATGGTAGGGGTTCTTAAGAATGGATGCAAAATAAAATGCCACATCTCAGTGAAGTGGAGGTTTGTTACAAATAGTAAGTTTTTACTGCTACTCGTGCATATTTGTGAAGCATCTACTCTTTGTACAAAAACTTAGGAAATATGCCCAATTATCATTATTATAATGTCACCCTTGCTTTTTTGGATTCTGACATCCTTTCTGGATTGGGAGAAACAAATAGAGCTCCATCAAGATATTGGCATAATAGTTTCTCTGAACTAAAGAAAAAAATTCCTTACAGCCTAAGATTTAACAAGTTGCCAAACTCTCAATTAGAAAATATAAAAGAATTTTTTGGTCACCATGTTTCATTGGAAATAACAAAGCTGGGCTTTGACAAATTTAAAAGTGAATTGTGGAAGTTGAAAGAAATTAATAGCATTTGATGAGAATGTTCCTAAATATAAATATTTTGTCATATCTCCAATTTTAGAAATCATTATCAAAAGGCTCTTATTTTTTAAAAAAGATTAGTACCATATGTGGATCGTACATAATTATACTATAAAGTCATGGTCAAGAAAATTACACAGATCTGTGTTGGTTTATTAGGGTTTACTGTTACTCCAAAAAGACTGTAAGATAATAGATTCAGTCTGGAATGAAGCTCTGTAAGGTCTCAAGTTGTGCTGGTGGTATGGTTATTGTTTCATTTTCTTTTCTTGACCATTTAAAAATAGATTTTATTATCAAATCAAGGAGAGCCACAGTGTATATATGTAGGAACACATATACCATGCTGATGGTAAACTGGTTTCAGGTTTCTTAGAGAGCAAACCAACATAAAACAAGAATTATAAAATCATCCATTCCCTGTGACATTATATATCAGTCAGGTATTACTACAGAAAAAACTGACCCCAATACTAAGTGGCATATAAGAAGTATTTATCACTACACTCCCAGGTCTGCAGGTAAGTTGGATAGCTGTCCTTCAAGCTGCAAGACTTCTGATCAGCTGGAGCAGCTCTGCTCCAAATATGTCTCATCTTCCTAGAACTACCAGTGACAGAAGGACAGAAGGACATGCTCAGCCACACGAATTTGTTCTAAGCCTTTGTTTATATCATGTCTACTAACAACTCATTGGTCAAAGCAAATCACACAGCTACAGCCAAAGTCAAGAGGCGAGGAATAGGCATAGCCCACCTCGAGGCCATGGCAAGAGTGTGGTTATGTAACTCTATCACACTGGAGTGAAGTTTGGGGACCAGCAAGTCAGTGTACCACACACAGCAATTCCATTTGAGAAAAATATCCCAGAAACATAGCAAAGGAAAAATTATAATTTCAATTTAATCCAGTAGAACAATCAGAAAATATCTTTTCACAAAACATAATTTCATGGAGATAAATACTGAGCAAGGTCAAGTCCCAAACCTCAAAGTGCAAAAGGCAAATTTCTACCCAACTAATGAAGAAACAGGAAATTTAGGATAAGTTATAAAATAGAGATCTTAACAAAAAATTGTGGAGTATGAAAAAATTCACTGAGTAGTGCGTGGTACAGAAGTGGTACAGAAGTTAGAATTCTAGACATAACAGCATAAACGAGGTGAGAGAGCACCTAGTATGAGGTGCAGCAGAGTGAGCCATGTGCTCCCTGAACATGGGAGGCTGAGTTGAGGCAGGCATAGCAAGAAAGGGCCCCAAATAAAAAAAAGCATGAAGGGAAGGCTGGGCTTCCCATTAGTTGTAGAGGGTTGAATTCCCCCTAAACCCTACCAAAAATGGCAGCAACAAACTTTTTTAGATTAAAACTCCACAAAATGAGGAAGAAAAGATGTTAGGCAAAATGCTTTCTGGTGCTTGACATAACCAATGCCATCTTAAGAAGCAAGTTGCTTTCAGTGACCACCAGTTGACCCTGGGAGGGGTGGGTGCATATGACCTGAAAGGAATGTTCTTACGTAGAGAAACAGGCCCATTAAGTTGTTTACTGCTTTGGAATATACAGTTCTTAGCAAGCACTTGCCACATGGCTACAAGCCACCTGTGTTCCTGGAGGCTGCATATATCAAGCCTCATCCCCTTTCTGGTGCAGAGATCCACTGTCTTGACTCTGGATCTAAGACTCTGCTTAATAAACTCTGTCTAATTCTGTAGTTGTCAGCCTCTTTCTTTGGTCTCTTTCCAGTTGGTCCTTTTTTGGAGGTCAGTTTCAGTACACCTTAAGAAGTTTTCCTAACAAAAGATCGCACTGGACAAGGTACATCAACAAATTTGCAGAAGGCTGAGAAGAGATAAATTAGTGGCTACTGACAGCAGAGGGGAGAAAGCTGAAACCTAAGAGCCTGCAGAGAGGAATGAGAAAGAAAAACAAACTGGTTCATGCAAGAGGATCTCAGAAAAAGCTTAGGAATTGGATGTATCAGATATGGCAGAAAGTGGGGGTAAAGAGCAGAGCTGAAAAACCAGAGGGTTGTCTGAGAGTCTAAATAAGAAGCAGTTTGAATTTCAAATCTCCTACCCCATTCTTGCATAACCAGGCAACTGACCCAACCCCTATCATGACAGGAGAGCTGGGTGTTATTTTCTGGTGAAACTGAACAGGAGAGGTCTTAAATTCAAGGTCACCAGGCACAGTCAAGGGCAGGATAAGGTCATGTTGAAACAAAGGATATAAGGTTGGAGATGCATAGCAAAGGCTGAGCTGTACACTCTCCCATTTCCTATTTGCCATTTCTCTCCCAGGATGCTGGCATATATTTCCCAGGTGCAAGATTTGAGATTATCTTCTAGAGAAGCTGAGTGACTGCAGAGAAAAAGGTCTCAAATCAGATATTAATTTTGGAATGTTGATTGATTGGCTTTTGGTTCAAACATGGAATATGGTCATATGGTCCAAGATAATTCAAACCCAAGCCATTGATCATCAGACTAGACCCATCCTATAATAAAGTTTTACTTGTTACAGCATAGGACTTTTAAATCTCTCATTTTCACTTAGATTTTTGTTTTTAAAACTTAGTGTTTTCCTCAAAAAGTACAGATTTTAAAAGATTTGTATAACTTGCATTGTTCTATACCTGTACAGTGGTGCTATCATGCTATCCTGCCCTCATCTGTTGACGCTATTAAAATTGTAACTATTTATTAGAATTTTATTATAATTAATAGGGTTTTCATCACCTGTGAGAAAGAAACTAAGTCGATATAGTTAGCTCTTCTCTGTAGGACATTTAACTGGTTTGTAACTTTAGAAACTACTATTAATTTTTATTTTTTAACAGGCTATAAACCTGAAACCAGGGCTAACCCACAACTGGATTTCCTTTTTACTTGGTTATCTTAGTTTGGGTCCTTCTAAAGCCAACTTGTGATGAGTTAAAAGGCAAAGAGTTTGTTTGGGAGGTGATCCCAGGAAGCTCCTGTAGGAAAGTGGGAGGGAGAGGGGAAAGGTAAAGCAGGGTTTGTGATAACATGCATATTTCCATAGTGGAGAAACACAGTTTAATCCTGCTGGAGACTCTGGGAGACAGCTTAGAACAGGCTATCCTCAGAGCTATCCCATCCACGGGAGAGTGAGTTGGGGATTCTCTACCACTCCATTGGTTGACAGCTAATCTCAGGGGCACTTCAGCCTGGGTGGGCAGAGTTGGCTCAGCAGCAACTCCGAATGGCCAGATGAAGCCCTGTGGGAAAGAGATACAGCTGCTGGTAGTGGGAAGAGGGGCCAGCAAGCATGGAAATGGTTGGAGCTCAGGAGTGTAGTCAGAGTGTCTGAAGCGACTCCTAGACTCCTATACCAGTTAAAGGACAATAGCAGTGCTCATTGCTCCTCCCAGTCCCTACATGGTTCCTGCATTTCCAGCACTCATTTTTTCCCTGGTTTCAACAGATAGAAACAGAAATATAAACAGTTACTGATCCATGCACTATGCACTTCTATAAGCTTCACAGAAGAAACAAAATATCCATATATGTTAACATTTTCCTTCTTGTTAAGATCAATAAAAAATAAATATCACCTACTATAATCATTCTGCTTTTACAAATATTTTAGAACACGTTGTGTAACTTGCCTTTTGATCAACATCGTATAGTCTTTTATAGGCTTCACTTATTTTAATGTAAGCATTATCTTCATTCTAATTATTTTATATGTATATCATCCCAATGCAGTCAGCGGGAATCCCACTGACTGGCTCCTTTGTTCTTCTAGCAATGTCCCTAATGCTCTAGAAAGCATCCTTGCTTTCTAGAAATAAGATATTCAATATGCATCTGCTTTTTTCATGCCCCAACATGTGGAATTAACTTCCATCAAAGGAAGTCTTCTTTCTTTAGGTAAAGAACTGATTTTGAGGGCAATATCAAGACACTTGGGATACAGATACAATTTAGTGGCAGATAAAAGTCCTGCTGCTCTTGCTGTGGCATTAGCCACTTTTAAAAGGAGTGGAGAGTAGACCCTAAGATTTCTCATCACAAAGTAAAAGACAATTTTTTTTATCAATATGAGTTGATGGATGTTAACTAAACTTATTGTGGTAATCATTTCATAATATATGTAAGTCAAATTATTATGCTGTTTACCTTAACCTGTACAGAGCTTTATGTCAGTTATATCTCAATAAAACTGTAGAATAAAATTAAAAGAATGGATCTAAGATATATCTAAATTTATACCAGTTATTGAAATTTACTAATTTACTAACTGTACTGTTCTTATAGTATGTGGATCCATTGGTCATTAATACTTTCTTCTAATCTAAAT